AAATACATATTATATATATTCTATAATATACACTATATATCTAATATTATAGCAAACTCTAAATATCAACGGCCAAATTATGAGAATTTACTAATATTTTATTAGTAATCTACTACGTTTTATATGTACGTATAAACGCCTCAACTCCTAAACTAAACCAAACACCTTATATTATTGATGGCCGCTGAACACTGACGGACTTGAACTGATTAATTAAAATTCTTTAAACAAATTATTCCCATCATATTTGTGAACGACACTTTAATTATCTTGATCTGCTTTTTTGTTTATTTTTCAAGAAAACTGATGTTCTTAACACATCAAGGATCGCTTTAAATTAATCAGTATATATTTAACCTATTGTATACTTTTATATCATTTCTAAGTAATTATTATGCAGACAAAACGCAAGAAAGAATGAGTTTAAATTCGCCTATACTAAACAATAGTGATGCTTCTAACTCGTTTAAGTGGTTAAACAAATATTAATTTCACATTTATAATCACTTTACTACATCTATGGAAAGAATATCTCCTACTAGAAGTACGTGATCGTTAAATTTTTAGTCTTTATTGTTATCCAAAAGATATAATTTTCAGTTTTTTCTTGATATTTTTTATCGCAAACGTATGTAGAATCTATGAAATAAAAATAAGTAAACTTAATAAGTTATTTTTAGTAAGATCTTTCATTTGATTCCCATATTGTAGAACATCAAAAATATTTTTTCAATTCGGGTTTTTGGATAAACCTAGAATTACGTCACACCTTATCAGGCAATATCACTCACCCAAGTATGTAAACATAATTTTAGTACAATCGATAAATGATATCTGTTTCGAAATTGAGTTACAAGATTCAAGCGGAACAAACATATATACATACATTGCAATCAGAACATAGACATACATACATAAACAAACATAGACAGACATACACCCTTCAATAATTGCATACATGTATTGTATTGACACAAGCTAAGTGTCAAATCCCATTGTATATTACATTAAAGTAATTCCATTTAACACAAAATTTGCAGAAGAAACATAATCTTAAAATTAAGGAAATTATACTAAACAAGATCCTGTAATAACCACCTCATAAAATTACACTTATTTTTTAATCTACAAAACTTTTTAGTAGATAAAATAGAATTGAAAAATTTCTTAATAACTTTTTAAGATAAATATAATCAGAATAACAAATTATTGAAGCAAACATGATCATTTAATCTTAGTAACTAATTTGTTTTAAATGCTCAGAGATTAAAAGAACTTGTTATAAATTAAAATAAAACTGTCGACTTTCTAATGTGCTCATTTAAGGTTTAACAAATCTTATTTATGTAATCAGAATAATAATATAATAGAAGACATTTCCAAATATTATTATAGTTTTTTAGTAATATATTGTATGTTTAATATAAATTTAGAAAAATATAACCCACATTAAAACCTATTTGTTCTTCACCTCCTTTCAAAATAAAATTTAAAAAAAACTGTCAAAAACGTCATTCTGTTAATCTTTAATTTGTACACTAATATATGCTATCAACAACGGATATGAACGTCTATGACACAGATTACTTAGTGCCAGCATGACCATTATGGCCAGAACAACTGCTGGCCGTTGCCAAATGCCATAGCAAGATGATGATCATAAGTTTCACTAGCAAACACATGTTCAACATGAAACAAACCAGTATCAAAAAATATTAAATTCGTGTGTATGTTTTGAGCCTTCAAGTATTTAATTATAATAAAGGAATTAATTGAAATATATAAATAGATTGTATTTAAAACCCCATGGTACATGACATACCATTAAATTAATATTAATTACAGCTCATTCAAATAAAAGCAAAGCGAAACTCGTTACGGCGCGATCAAAGTTGTGTCAAGTGTCAAAATGAGTCACGCCATATTTAGCGCCGCTTCAAAACACATTAAATTTTTATTCGTTTGGAAATTTCACTTCAGAAATTTTTTATTAAATTTTTAATAAGTTAATACGATTGTACTTATTTTAGTTGGTGTCAATTATTTTCATCTATTAATAGATTTTTTTCAGAAATAAAGAAGGATCATTTAAAAACAGATTTTCAAGACTACTCTAATTATTTTAACGAATAAGACTTAAGCCTGCTTATTTACGAGGACCAGTAAATTCAACATAATTAACTGTCAGTCCTTTTAAATATATAGACCATTATGGCAACAGGAATATATCAAAATATTTGATGAGTTCAAGCTATTAAAATACTTGACACCTTTACTTTAAGAACGCATTTCCTTTAATACTATTACACATTCGAAGGTCTTAAATTGCTTTGCAAAAATATTTTCTTTACGTGTATTGTTTTTAATATAGCTCACTCACTGAATAAATTACTTTAAATTTAACCTTTCTCACTTATTTTCTTACTTAATGAGAAATTTAAAACAAAGTTTTTAGGTGAAACTGAGCTTAAAAATCGAAACTTGCGTGACATTCTTAACACAAAATTACTAAGCATTCTAGTAACATTAAGAAAATTAATATAATAATTATATTTAATAAAAATAACAAACAATTCTAAATAAGATAAAATTTACAATAGCTGAAACATCTGAAAACAAAAGAACAATCCTTCTATCCTGAAATGTTTGTATCGCGTGCTGTATATACATTAGGATGTATTGTTTAAAGCACGGCATCAACTAACAAACCATTCGTAGTATATTTGGTCAGTATCTAGACTAATAGTCGCTAATTTGATAGTCTTACAACTAACATCATAAGATTATCTCGAACTGAAACGTTAGAACTTACTTCAATTATAGATTGAAGAAGGATTTAGGAATCTCTTATACGTTTATCGCCTTCGAATAAAATAGAAAAAGTGTTTTATATTTGATGTTAAATTAAGTAGTGGCATTTCAAACTACGATTGATTAAGCTTCCTTAGATTACAATTAAAAATAAAACTATATGTTTACATACAAATGTAGCTATATATATAAGTAGACTGTACTATATATAAGTATACATATAAGAATCGTATAATTCTGTCATAATATATATTATAAAACAAGTCACTATTCGCATGTAAGTGTATCATAAAACCAAGTTTTATGAACATACACGCTTGATAGCTTTTCTCTTATCTATATTTGGGACAAATCGGTTATGTTTGTGCCGATATCGTGACCGATTTGAATGATATTTATATTTGCTTATTTATATTAAGACTTACTTTATGTGTATGTATTTTAAACCATAATTCTGCACACAAATGTATTGCTCCAATGAATTCTAATATAGAATAATATAACCAGATCTTGGAGAAAAAAATAGCAATATGCAGTTCTTAAGTCTAAAGTTAAAGTTGGTATTTTAAATAATGGTAATGGTTCTCGATAATAATAATCAATTATAATAAAAATTATAGCAATTTCACATTGCGAAGAAATGGAGAACGAAAAATTTTCAAATATTTTATGCCTATGCAAGATTAAATGTATCTTATTCCATGTACTTATCTTAAGAATGCTGAAAAGTTGATTGTAAATAGAAATAAACTGCTTAATTGCAAGGACCCATCTCGTAGTATCAAGAACATATCTACCATTTAAACGAAGTGCAAACAAACAAAGCGAACCAGTCCGTAAGTTATCTATCCGCATAATTACTGACCGTAGGTGGTAATATATAGCCCTCAATATTTAGATAACACGTCCAATATATTATTTAGAATAACTTTATAGTTCAAGAGACTTTAGTATTGATAAAATAAATTTTAATTTGTCTATATAAAATTACTTAAACTCTTTTTTTCTAGTAAAGACAGTATCGATATTTTCATAATTATTGTTGTGTTATTTTAACGTGAGCGATAAAGTCGATACTACATATATTTAAACCGATATATTTGAGGTTTATTCATCAAAGAAAAAATATTACATTCATTTTTTAAAATTCAGTATAAAAAAATCGTGGGAAATATATTCACAATAGTAGCCGCAGGATAAATTCAAAGAATAATTCAACCATTAATTCCTTTATCTCTGACGCTCGAAAGTAACAACCAATTTGAGAACCTTTACAAGGCTCTGATTCCTTCCTTTTTTTCGACACCTACAAGTGTAAACCCCTGCTGCGATGTACAATGCAGCCATAAAAAATCTGACGTAAATATTTGTTTCAAATTTGTTTTTTATTCATAAGAACTTAAAGGTTGTTTTTCTGTTAAGGTTTTTCAATGATCATTTAGCAGTTGAATACCACCTGCTGTTTCAGACGCATCCTTTTAAGAATTGTTTCTGAGTTTAAATATGATTTATAATTAGCTCATTACGATGCAAAGAAATTACTTTTACTTATTATAGATATTTATACAAATTTTCTTATTTTATTATGAACTGAATGTATTTGAGACCACGATTAAAGATTGTACATCATATTATCTGATCAAATTCCATTAAATCTAGGTACATTTTGATAGCCCGTTTCAAATTATGGCACGTCCGCAAATTGCATTTACTGTGTTTCCCAAACTGTCAACATAGTTTGCATATTAATATTTTAATTTATTTAAATCAGTTTTAAACATCATAAATATAATTATAAGTTAAATAGAAAATTTTAACGTTGACATTGTATTAAAATCGCATTTAATATGGATATGATGTACATATTTTAAATTTTACGTGCATTATTAATGAAGAGGATAAAATAAATTTGTATGTAGTTTTATCTGTTCGTTTCTCTTCGATCTACTAAACAACACTATAGTCTTATGTTTTAATAAAAATTATATCAATCATTATAAATTGTAATCGATTTATAACCACGAGCAGAGTTGCGTGCGAACGCTTGTTGTGTACGAAACAATTCTGCTAACACAAACATTTTGGGAACCTCAGCAAAATAGCAATGTGTCATATCATAACATAATGTAATAAACAGAATGAAGTAGTGTCCGTCCGATCGTGTGTATGGTAACGTTGAATATAACAAGATGTTAAGATTTATATGTGGATTAATATTATTCTTATATGCTGAAGGAACATCTATAAAAGGTAAGTTGTACTATATTTAGCTGTAATAATCGTATTTCCTATATTGAAACCACGTTGCTTTTATGATACGAACCATTTTAGTCTAATAAGTAGTACAGTCATTTGTTCCACGTGTTTTACAGATTTTTTTCTTATAATCATTAACATAAAATTGAAAAAGTTTATTTTTGTATCAAATTCACTTGCGTTTTTAAATTATTTGATGTGAAATTTTATTGTCAATTAATAAATGTTGTAGCATACATATTTTGGATCAAACATATTTACATCAATTTACATGACTCCCAAATGTTAAAACAATACAAGTAATATAATTAATTGCACAGCTAACATATTAAATTTTACAATCAATTATATCGGAATGTGTGTCCATTGTTTGTTTGGTTTAACAAAACAGAAACAATCATGTTTATATTGATAATTCTATTAAATGACGTCAACTTTGGTAATATACAAGTCATTGTATTAACAGTTCTGCAATTAATGACGAACCATTTTCCCTGACAAACCAAGTCTTAGTCCTAATTCGATCCCAATTTATATGGACTTTTAATATAATATCAGATTAGTGAACTACGTTATGCGAATAGAAAGTGTGAGAATCAAAGAATGTAATATTTTGATAGTACTGCTGTAGAAGTAATGAGGAAACAATGTTGCTTTATTCTATTTCACTGAAAAGATTATTTTTTAAATGAAGGAATTGTAAAATTACCATTAGCTTCATAGTTAATATATTGCTTGTATATTCCAGGGCTATATTGTAAAGATCCGGATACAGGCAAATTATACGCTGTGAATTCGACGTGGCAGTCAGAAACATTTTGTGGTAACTACACATGTAAACTCAGAAAGAAGAATATCACTCAAACTGAATACACACCTATACAAAGAATAAATTTAACAGCGGATACATTAAAGAAACATCAAATATTCGATGACATGTCCGTTAGTCCCAGTCAGAAATCAGTAACAACTGTAAAGAATTATGAAAATTTACAACCAGTGTTTCATAAAGATTTAATGAGTAAAGTTCATGAATTAAACGAAAATAACAGCGACGAAGATAACAATGATAGATATTTGACGGAAGTAGAAATAAAGAAAATTACTGAATTACTACACACTGTTAAGAAAAGCGACCTGGAAGCAATCGTAGAAATATACAGCCTAGCACAGGATATATATAAAGAAATGAACTCGACGACAGAGAAACCTATTGAAATATCAAACAATATTAATGAAGATAAAAAAGAAGATGTTATGAAAACATTAAAACCTAATTCGCAAGAAACTGTTTCCTATTGGTATGAACCACTCCATCATCACCATGCAAAAACTAAGACAGCTGACTCTAAGGTCGAAGAGACTTATCCAACCCCAGTTGTACGTTCTTACCCACATCCTTCAACGTACTTCAAAAGCCCTGGAGCTGATAAAGATTTCGGAAAGTTGCCCTATTACTATCCTCTATCAAATTTTCAGAGAATGTCATCCTACCTCCATAATAGATTCCCATTTACAATAAATTCTCCTCCACCACCATGTAACAGACAACCTCAAAACACTGCTCCACAGACTTTATTTACTCAACCCATACCTCAAAGGAAGGTTTACCCTGAATCAATCAGGCATCGAGAAGTGTTACCAATGCAACCTGCACTTCTACCTTATCCATTCTCCTACGTAAATCACTACAATTTTAGTTCATACCCAGGAAGCTTCTATTACAATAATTATCCATGGGCCCAATTAAACAGCTTTAAGAGATACAATAAGAATCCTCAAAATTTAAACCACGTAACATTTGTACCTCAAATATCAAAACCAGAAGAAACTGTTAAGAGTGTTGAATCAGAAGACAAAAATGAAGATACCGTAAATAATATGCAAGATAATTATGATTCAGCTGAAAATGATGGAAAGAAAAAATTACCAGAATGGCAAACGGATGAGCTATCAAAAAACATTTTAGAGGAAGTAAAAGCCAATATATTAGAGAAATCGAAATTACTGAAGCCTCTGTCCTTAAGAAAAAATATTAAAATAGAAAAGGTTGGAAAAGTCATCAAGCTTGACGAGCTATCGAGATCTAAAAGAGATAAAGTCTGGGGAGAAAAAGTAATTGATGATAAAGAAAATATCCAATTTGAAGCCTACATCGAAAGAAAAACGTAAGTTGCTAGAAATAATTAATGCTAATATAAGTGTTAATGCTTATGTCATGACATTTTTAATATTTCATAATAAAACAATTAATTATATAAAATATTAAGAAAAAGAAATAAAAACTTTTAAATAAAAAGATTCCCCTGTTTAAGAAATCCCAAATAGTGTAAGATAAATTAAAAGCACCTGCGAAGGATGACAAATTTAAGGAATAAAGCCATGTCCAAAAAACTTGACAAATTAGAGCTAAAAACTAAGGAATGCGACCCTTTGTCTTGACAGATGTAAGCTTCGGATATCTGTTTTTAAGGCTATAAACCCAATTGAGGTTCTATAAAAAACATAATGGATAGATTATCTGGATATAAATATAAGAAATACTGCTCAGAACTGTTTTTAATAGGCTCTTTTAAGTTACGTAAAAACTTAATATTTACATAAATACGTAATATGTATTTATTATTTTTTAAAAAATCCTTATATGTAAAAATAAATACACGTCTGGCCATTAGTCTTCCACATAATATGATTGAAGAAATATATTTAATCTAAGTGCAAAAATTAAATTTCTAGATGGAATAAATATTGCTTAAAAATAAAATATTTCTTTATAATTAAACGGCAATACAAAATTCAGTTTTAAGCGTAAATTTCAATAATGTATAAGCATAGTATCTAATTTAAGTTAGATCGTGTTCACAATAATTGCTTTTGGAACAATTATTACTTGAAACTATTCCTATACTATTTGTAATTATTAATTAGAAATACTAACTTCGAAATTTATGATTCTAGGTGCGAGTCGAGTTTCGAGCCTGGATATTTTAGCGTCGGTAACCAATCTCAGCCATTTCCCGCTTGCTGTCCAAAAAAAATATCAGTTGATCTGAATAATTAGATATTGGTTGTAAAAAATATTGTAATGCTTGATGTAAGTCTATACAAAAGCCCTACAAAGGCCCTAGATTTTAACAATCAATCCAATGTTCTAACCATTAAAACACATTAGTTTAAGTAAATAAATTATTTCATCTTCTCTTAGAATAAAAAGAAAATCTAAAATTAATAAAATAAATACGTTATAATATTAAAGTAAGATATAACAATATAATACTTCTTTATTGATTTTACTTCTTTTATATACGAATGAGAAAATTGATTAAGAATAACATATTCCTTGTAAATGAAAATAATAATTCTTGAATAAGAAGGTTGATTTAATAAGATTCGGTTTAACATACAAAATTGAATATTATTTATGGCCTTTAAATTTAAAATAATTGAATTCTTCCAAGTCTATACAAATTAAATATGTATCCAGTTCACTAATAAGAAAGGACATTTGTTAAAAACACATTAGTCAATCCGTGCATCCCATTTAAAGGATCCCATAGATAGTCCCTAATTTCAAATTACAAAAAAAAACCTAATAAATCTTAAGTTTGCCCCCACATGGCGTCACTATGAGAATGTACTGTAAATTCCTTCTTATGTCCACAGCGACAAGAATTATAGATGAACTATGTTTATTACTTTTTAATTTCGACTTTTGTGTACGAATGAATTATACCCTTGGAATTAATAAGCCATGTTATCTTTGAGTTTATTTAACAGTTTGGTGTGAGGGGATTTCTCTTTTTGATTTGATCTTCAACCAAGAGACAGGCTTCGTTTTAATATTGAAATTATAAATCATATTACGTGCTTATGCTTAGCCAACTTATGGCTTTATATTTTTAGAAAACTGTACCTAAATATATAACAAAAATTAAATATATTAAATAGCAAAGTAATACCCAATTCAGCCGATCAATTTCATAGCAAAACTCACCCAATTCCGGTATAGAGATCATTCTAGCTAATGGACTGTGACCGTAATGTCATTATAAAAAAAACCTCACTTGAGTTCGGGTTCACTTAAAAAAACATTTACCCTTCGTTGCTGTGACTTATTGTAAACCGTTAGAGTGAGATGCAAATATAAGTTTGTCAAAATTGGAAAAGGATGCAACCAGCACCCGAAATATGTAAATTAAGTTAGTCCCTTAATGTCGGACATTATTTTTTTATCACCGTCCAAATAAAGATATGTCTGTTTGAGAGCAATGTTATCTTGAAGTAAGTTATAAAGTTTCGGTTTTGCGTTCTTCAATCTACATTTTATTATCCCTTCGTAATTTTCGTCTTTATTTTGTAACGTTGAAATCTTAAGTGTTGTCTTTTTAGTTTATAAACTGGACTTAAACATAATAAAAGTTTTGAAATTATTAGAAATCATTGAAACTTTATATTTATTATTCAGTAAATATAGTCTTAGCTGTGTGAAACTAATAGTAGACAATGTTCTTATGTTTAATTTCCTTATTCACCATATTAATCCCTTCTTCCTCATCATAATTTCATTCCAGCCACCTAGATAGCAAACAGAGACCTCCCGAGTTTGTTTTTCAAAAACCTTATACAGATCACATACCATCTTTTGATATGACAAGCTCTACCCCATAGCCGGTTTAATTTTAATCCCTTGCCTAAGGTAAATTAGGGTTAAACCAAATATTTGTATAAAAGGTGTCATCAAAAACACTATCGCAAGGGATTAAAAGGACGGGCGATGTTTTATACTTTAACAATTAAATCTTGAGATAGACAAATTCCACAAAGATTTACAGTCGGTACATTTGATAAGTGTTTCCCGACCACTTTTTACGTTTAATATACTTAATATTTGGTCTTAAATATAAAAGAAACTTAGTTTAAAAAATGTTTTAATGTAAACTTTAAAATAAAAAATATATTTTCATGTAAATACATTTATAACAAGTGTATCAAACAATATTTATTACAGACTCCATTAAAACCTTTTAATGCTTTTTTTACTAAAATAAACTGCAAAAATATGATCCCTCGAACTATATATTTTAAGTTTAAATTAATTAGTATCTTCTTTTTATTTAATAAATATAACTAAATCAATAGAAAATAGAAAGCATAAATGAAATGTGAATCAAAAACTTGATAAATCTAAGGTCACGGAGTCCTAATTTTGAGGTCACCTAAATCACTCTCTGTCATTGGACGCCGTTAATTGTATGTGGTCCTAAAAAAAGTTTGGACACGAAGAGGATAAAGCTTGAAAAACTTTTGAGTTCTACCTTCACTGAAAAATTCTCTCAAAAGACCAACAGTTACTTAAAATAAACTAAAAGAACATTATTATAATAAGATTCGCATTGAAAGAATCGATTGATATTGTTGGAAGACCAGGTTTTCTATTGAAAACTAGGTATATTGTAGTCATTAATATGTGGCAACTTGATAGCTATTGAATATTTTCTGGCCTTGACTAAACTTTCATTATAGCAAGAACTGAGTGTATCATCTTCTATCTAAATATTTATAACAAAGGAAAAAAGTAGATAAAACAAAGTAAATCGTATTAAGTTAAACGGGGACTACAATATATTTGGGAGTTTTATTAATTCGTAGTAACAAATAAGTAGACGGCCTACTTGGCGAGAAGTAGGCGCCGTCGTCCATATGAGATATTGCGGATCTCTTGCCAACCTTGATTTTTGAGGAAGGAGGAAAGGGTGGGAGTAAGGAGATGGCAGGAAAAGGTAAAAACGGAGAAAAGAGCAACCGGCTCTCACATTCGTCGGACGAAACGCAGCCACTAAAGGCTACTTCACGCCGATCTTCTGTGAGAGGGTGGTACTTGCCAGTCGAGCCAGCCTATGTTCGAACTATAGTTACTTGACCACAGCTAGGCTCTACCACCTATCAAAATGCGGATTCGAATCCAGATAGATGACGAATATTTCAATAAATATTTTCTTAATGAATTATATTCAAATGTTATCTCAATAACACTAAAAGGGATATATGTATATTCGTATTATTATATAGGTAGATAGGTAGTAGTTTTGTGAAACAAAATTTCGAATGGTCCAGATTTAGTAAATATTTATATTGGGTGCTTGTACTGATTTGGGATAAGTTTGTTTAACGAGTAAGGTTCATGGAAATATATGTATGGTAAATATAGTATAGGTGTTCTAAATATTGATTTAAAATATTGTTACACCTTTATAAAAAACACAATAAAAGAGTGAATCCAAATAAACATATATAAATAGCAACATATGTATATTAAAACCGCTTGTTGTAACAAAGATATAATATATAGAAAAATTTTTTAGTTCTAAGAAATATTTTAATTTGTTCCAAAGAAATATCTATAGAACAGAATTATTGAGAAGACTTAATACTAAATTATTAACAAAAATATTAATAAACCTCCCAATACTCGATGAGTCAGATCCATCAAATGCTTCACCAAAGATAAAATAACACCATATATTACAAATCGAACCATTTTGATAATGTTGAGAGTAAGGATGGGCATTCCTTAGAAATTGATTCGATACCTTTATGATTCATAACTCAAATATATGTACTGTTAGTTGTAACCATGGATAGTACACTTAGTAGATAGTACACTTTATACCAATAAATAGAGTGGAATAAATATTAAAATATACATTAATTTATATAGTTTAACATAAGTATGAAAAACAGACCTGGAGTACAAGTTATAGCTGAATCTTCAGGTATATAGCCATTCTCTAATTGAAGATATACATATAAGAATAATTTCAGATGTAATAATTTACAGTTTTTTTGTATCTGTGTCTTAGAACATGACCTATCGTGATATTTTTCAATATCTTTCTTATGATATATTATGAAAGTAAAATGATGGTTAGTTTTTATAATTGACGTCTTTTATAAATCATTTTATCAAGACAGAAAAAGACATAATATTTATGAAATAGTTTATATCTTTAAGGTATGGTAAAACAAAACTATTAGTTTAGATTTGTTTTTAACTTTTAACATGATTAAAATATACGAACATTTAATTTTTTAATATACTTTGTATTATATAGATATATATGTACTTCCGAAATTCTTCACTAATATAAAGAAATAACAATGGATTTTTTTAA